CCTGTCCTTTACTCAGCTGAGAAAATCACAAAGGCCTCCCTCCCTCCCCCCAGGCTCCCACTCCCTGACTGTCTCCAGAGGGCTGACTAATGTCCCTTCTCCCCTCACCTGCAGGACCTGCTCTGGGCTGCCAGCTTCTACCTCCGTTTCTTCTTGTCCTATGCCCCCTTTTACGGCGTCCCTGGGGTGCTGCTCCTCTTTGTTGCTGTCAGGTATGGCCAGGCTGGGAGTGGCTGGGAGCTGACCACAGTCCCCCCATTCGGAGCCTCCATTTCCCCATCTGCAGCCCAGGCACAGCAGTAGTACCTCCCTGGGCTTTGGTAATTTTCATGAGCAGGAGACTAGCAGGAGCCCAGGGGCTGTGGGTAAGGGGAGCAACCTGGTGTGACCCCAGCGCCACTCACAGTGAGTCGGACAGAGGGCAGTGCTGAGCCTCTACCCTCAGGGTCCTGGAGAGCCACTGGTTTGTGTGGGTCACTCAGATGAACCACATCCCCAAGGAGATTGGCCAAGAAAAGCACCGTGACTGGACCAGTGCCCAGGTGGGTACAGGGGCGTGGGGCAGGCTGAGCAGGGTCCCAGCTGGGAATCAGCCAGCCTTCCTCACCTGCGTCCCCTCACCCCTGGAAGCTGGCTGCCACCTGCAATGTGGAGCAATCCTGCTTCATTGACTGGTTCAGCGGGCACCTCAACTTCCAGATCGAGCACCAGTAAGTGTCCCCAAGTGTATGCCCAGAGGCAAGGGACTGCACCTGGGAGGGTAGAAGCCTGAGGCAGGAGCCCCATCTTTGTCTGGGGGGCCCCCCGGGGGAAGTGATAAGTGGGCAGGACTCACCAAGCTCAGATGCCAGTGTGCACTCCCTCTCATCCCAGCCTGTTTCCCACAATGCCACGGCACAACTACCGCAGGGTGGCCCCGCTGGTCAAGGCGCTGTGTGCCAAGCATGGCCTCCACTATGAGGTGAAGCCCATCCTCACTGCCTTGATGGACATTGTCAGGTAGGTCCTCCGCTCACCTGCCCACCTGCATCCCTGAACCCACACAGAGCACTTTCCCAGGGCCACATTGCCAGGCTCTGGAGAAGCTCTGCACTTCATGGAGGCAAGCAGGCCGAGACCCCTGCGTTCTAGAGCTGATGTGCCTGCAGGGAAACAGACAGCCAACAAAAAAGTATTATAAGTAAGATGAATCACAGACAAGGTGCAAAGGGGTCAGGGTCAGGGTGCAGGAGACATGGGAGGAGAGACATGGGAGGAGGAGAGAGGGCTGACTTGACTGTGAGGCATCTGAGGGAACAGTGTTCCAGGCAGCAGGAACAGCCAGTGCAAAGACTCCTGGTGAGCAGGAGGCCATGCGTGCAGAGGCCAACTGGACTGGAGCAGGTCTCCTCAAGGTCTGCTGGTGCCCACTACGATGTGGTTTTTACTCTGAGTAGGATGGGGAGACACTGCAGTCTCTAAGCAACAGAAGAGTGCTTCCCAGTTTAGATTCTGGAAAGATCACAGACTTGAAAACACAGAACAGACAAGAGTCTCTGCAGAAAGCAGAATGGAGGCTTTGGTCCAGGTGGGGTGTGCTGGACCCAGCAAATGCGGCTCGGAGGTGGGGAACAGAGGTGGGCTTCCTCCCTCCTCGGTGTCTTCACACATGCTATTTCTTCTTCTATGCTGGAGTTCAAACACCTGCTTCTCCTTAGAGGTGTTTCCCAGCTCCACCTTCCCTGCAGCCCTGTAGAATACCTGGCTTTTGGTGGACAGGTGGACAGTTTCCCTCCTCCTAGGTCTTTGGATCTCAACAGTGTGCAGGAAGACGGGGCACAGACCCTGCCCAGTTCATGCCTGGTCTTAATTGTAACCATCCCCTACCCTTGTCCAGCTCTGGTCTAGACTCCCACTCCTGTGAATGAGCCTCCTCTCCCAACTGCCTGCCCAAGGGGCAGGAGGGTTCTTGAGGGGGTGTGGATGTCTTCACATACCCACCACCTGCGGGGGCAGGGTAGCATCTTGCAGGGGAGTCCCTAATACACCCCCATACCTGCCTCCCAGGTCCCTGAAGAAGTCTGGCGACATCTGGCTGGAAGCCTACCTCCACCAGTGACCACCAGGCCAGCTCCAAGCAGAACGTCCACTCGGGGCCCAGAGCTGGAGCTCCGAGGCTGTACCTCTTCTGCCCAATGGAACCAGGGCTCATTGTGGTCCTGAAGTCACACAGTAATCATGGCATGTTTTCCTAAAGCAAAGATTTCGGGGAAACTGTTATTTTTATATTAAAACTAACACAGATGCATTAAGAATTGGAGAATTCTGTTTGCTACCCAGCTCCTGGAAGCCATCAGGCCCTTGGGCCAACGGGGATGTTGTCGGGGCAGGATGGGGACCACTGCTGGGGGTGAAGGAGCCCTGGCCTGGGACTCACTGAGGGTCCTGCCCCTTTGCCCCTCTGTAAAATGGGTGGGGTTGGTCTCTAGATCAGGGTCAGGGGCCACATGGGCTGGTGTTTCTCCTGACACGGGCCACTTCCTTCTGTGATGGATGAGGGGCCTCGGGATGTATACATGCATGCATGTGTGCAGGTCACCTGACCATCTCAGTATCTTACTTCACATCACCCAGGTGGGACCCCCAGCAGATAACCAGGTTTCACCCTGAGCTCTCCCAAAGTTTGTAGCCACTACACTGAAGCCTGTCCATCTGCATTCCAGAGTCTCTGACGTCTCTGGATTTCTATGGACTAGGCTGTGTCTCCATCCATACCGAGTCTCAGGCTCCTCCTCTGGGAGATGGACGCAGTGCACTGGGCCTGAAGTCTGGGGGTAGTCTGTGGCAGGTTTTGAGTTGGGGTTGTCTGAAGGTAGGAATAAGGGGGAGCAGGGCTGCTGAAATCCTTTCCTCCCAGAACCCACATACTTCAACTAAAGCAGCTCCACACTGAGGTGAAGGTGACAGAAGCTTAAAACAAAAAGGTGTCACCTTGAGTGAGGATTGGCCAAGGGTCTTCATGCAGTGGGAGCCGGGCTGCCCACACTCAGGGTTTGTCCCTGCCCTGGCCTGGGATCCCTCCAGAGATGCTCCGCTCTTTTCCAGTCTTCCTGGGCCCACCCTATGTAGGAATGGAGCTATGGGAGGCGGGGCTGGGAGATGCCTGTTCTGCTCCTCAATCCACTGGGAGGAGAGGCTGCTGACAGCTCTGACACAGGCAGTGTCCTCCCTTGGGGACCACAAGGGGTGCAAAAGGTGAGATGGGTTGGAGATTTGAATTCATCCAGAGGCGCCTCGGAAGAAAGACCTGGTGATATACTTTCACAAACGCAACCATTGACAACTCTGGAGCACAGCTGTACTCTGACACACGTGGGGTCGCTGTGAGTTGGAGTCAGTTTGACAGCAATAAGTTTGGGTTTTGGGTTGCACAGTTTGTGCTTCGATGCTAACTGAAAGGTTGGTGGTCTGAACTCACCCAGAGGTACTGCAGAAGATTGTCATTGATAAGTGCCATCAAGCTGGTACCGACACATAGCAACCCTATGCACAACAGAGCAAAACACTGCCCAGTCCTGGGCCAACCTCACAAGTGTTGCCACGCTTGAGCTTGTTGTCCCTTTTCCAATCCATCTCGCTGGGGGGGTCTTCCTCTTTTTCTTTGACCCTCCACCTTACCAATCATGATGTCCTTCAGTGACATCATGCCCGAAGTATGAGAGACGAAGTTTGGCCATCCTGACCTCCATGGAGCACTCTGGCTGCACTTCTTCCAACGCAGATCTGTTGGTTCTTTTGGCACCTTTCAATATTCTCCTCCAACACCATAACTCAAAAGCATCAATTCTTCTATGGTCTTTCTTATTCACTCTCCAACTTTTGCATGCATATGAGGTTATTGAAAATACCATGGCTTGGGTCAGGCATACTTTAGTCCTCAAGCTGACATCTTTGCTCTTCAACACTTTAAAAAGGTCTTGTGCAACAGATTTGCCTAATGCAATACGCCTTTTGATTTCTTGACTGCTGCTTCCATGACTGTTGATGGTTGATCCAAGAAGAATTAAGTCCTTGACAACTTCAATCTTTTCTCCATTGATAAGAATGGTGTTTATTGGTCCAGTGGTGAGGATTTTTGTTTTTTATACATTGAGATGCAATCCACACCGAAGGCTGTGCTCTTTGATCTTCATCAGTAAATGTTTCAAGTCCTCTTCACTTTCAGCAAGCAGGGTTGTATCATCTGCATATCACAGGTTGGACCCAGAAAAGTCCTGCCTCTGCCAGGACTCAGGCTGGGTGACCTTGGGGAAGTCACTCAACATCTCTGAGCCCACCCTCTGTGGGGAAGTTTAATCAGATTATTGGGTGCTGATTTCAACCACCCCACTAGCTTCCTCTGAGTTCTGGTGTGGTGCTGTGGGCTAATGCGTCAAACTGCAAAGTCGTTTGAACTGCAAGGTCGGTGGTTCAAGCTCACCAGAGGCTCCTTGGAAACCCTATACAGGGTCCTTATGGGTCGGAATTGACGGCACTTAACAACAACTGGTTTCCTCTGTAACCTGGAGCCCTTTGTCCTCTCTCAACCTGTTTCCTCCTGGATGCCCCACCCCCACCCCCCATCCCCAGAAGTACTTCCTGCCTCAAAAGCAAACTTTCTATGTTCAAAACTGTTCCCTCTGCCAGGAATCCACCTTCATGTCCCCACATGTTGAAGTTCTACTGACTCTTGGTGCCACCTCAGTGTGCCAGAGCCAGGGAGGGTACAAGCAACATCCCTTCTGTTCACTGGCTTCAGTCCACACCTGGGAGATGGCCAGAGGAAACCTGACGGGCTTATCTGGGAAATGTGAATAACTAGGATGCCCCCAACCCAGCGGGCATGCTGAGCCTGCAGCGCCACCCAGGGGCACCTGGAGTAACTGCATAATGGGGCGGGCCTTGCTCCAGGTTGCCCCTGGTGGAGGCCAAAGGTAGTGCTGGAATGTTCAATGGTGGAATGCTCACCTTTCTTGTCTGAGGGGGGACAGGGTTTGATTCCTGGATGTGCAGCTCCCACCCGCCTGCCCCTGGAGGTATGTGTGTGGCTAGGATGCTCAACAAGTTTCAGCAGAGTTTCTAGACGAAGGTGAACTAGGAAGAAAGCCTGGTGGTCTTTCAAAACTCAGCCAATGAAACCGCTATGAAGTACAGTGATCTGATCCACACTCCATAAAGGATGCAAGACCGGACAGCTCGTCAGTCTGTTGTGCATGGGTCAGGGTCAACTCAACGGCAGTAAGGGCCCTTGGGGGCTGTCCTAAAGTAGCCACCCCAGGTCTCTCCATATTGCCTGTAATCCCATAACTCGTGGGTCAATCTTTCATTCCCACTCTCTTACCCCATGCTCCTTCCCCTATCCAGATCTGTCAAATCCCAGCTGCTGCGGAGTGAACTTAACTCCAATTCAGGCGACCCCACATGTCAGGTGTCAGAGAAGAACTGTTCTCCACTGGGTTTCTAGTGGCTGAGATCTTTGGGAAGCAGATCGCCAGGACTTTTTCCTGAGTGACCTCTGTGGATTTGAACAGTCAACCTTTCAGCTAGCAGCTGAGTGTGTTAACCTGTTTGAAGGTCTCTTCCTTTTCAGTCACAGAACAAAGTCTTAGGGAGCGCCAGGCAGGTTTGTGAAATAAAGGAAAGTCCTGGATGGAGCGTCTAAGAAACCCTGGAACCTTTGAATGCACGAGCCCAGACCCAGAGAAAAAAGTAAAGCTATTTGGGGAAACATGATTTGCTTGTTCCTTAGACGAGCCAACATTTACCAAGAGTCTTCCGTGGGCCGCCAGGGCAGGTGTTGATGTCAGCCCCTGCTGGTATTGTTGGAGGTTGGGGTGGGAGGGTGACAAGGAACAAACACCTTTGTGACAAGGCCTGTGGATGGTCTCCAACTGGTCATTTCCCTCACCCCCGTCCCCTGGAGCACCTCACAACTCTAGCTCAGCCCTTTCCAAGCTCCTCGTTCCTGTCTATGCCTTCTGCTCACAAGTCCTCTTGGATACTTGCTGTCGAATCTTTGTTGTTAAGTGACATTAAGTCGGTTCCAACTCATAGCGACCCTGTATACAGTTTCCAAGGAGCTGCTGGTAGGTTTGAACCATCAACCTTGAGGTTCAAACCAACCTTATGGTTCAGTGCTTATCCTACAATGTCACACAGGGCTCCTTGAACTATGTTGTTGTTGTTAGGTGCCATCAGGTCAGTACCGACTCATAGCGACCCTACGCCCAGCAGAACGAAACACTGCCCGATCCTGGGCCAACCTTGAGCCATAGGGCTTAGACCTAAATGTCCCCAAGAACTAAATTAACAATAGTGGAGGACAATAGGGGGAGGGTGGGTTATATAACTTGGCAGGAAGCCAGTGTGGCAAAGACCAGAATTTCCATCAAAAGATTCCTCAAGGCTCAGTCAGTCCTGTGACACGGCATCTTGCTGGAGGACCTGGGACAGGCGTTTCCGGTGCAGCCTCAGCTTCTTCATAGAAGGTCGTTACACATCCTGCTGGAACCACATCAAGGCTCTTTTTTTTTTTTT